CTCTCCTGCCACTCCCGCTGCTCCCCTCAGCAGTGTATTTCAGTAAATCTGCCTGTTCTGCTCCCCGCTCTGTCTCTGGTGAATCCTCTCACCCTCCCATTCCTCTGGTCTGTACCCCAGCTCTTGTATAAATAAAAAAAAAAAAAAAAAACCTTAAAAAAAAGTTGAACAAAATCATGGATCAGTAGAGAGATAGAGGAAGTGACAATTTACTTAGCATCCTATAGAAAGAAAAAATAGAGACTGTAGCTATACTATGGTTGTAGAGAGTTTGATGCAGAAACACTGCTGAGCAGGTTGCTAGATTTAGGAATAGGACCTGCCTGTATTCCTTGCTGAATGAGTCAGTTCTAAGGAAAGTCTTATATTCTATGTTTAATCAGACAAAATTTGGTAGAACTATAAAGAGTAACTAAAAGTGGAAAAAGTACTATATCTCAAAAACCATCAATTCCAATATTTGGGTAAAGGATGCAAATAACGCAACGCCAGCCTTAAACTAATACATTTATTATAAGTGCACCCAGATGAGAGAAAAACAATTTATTTTCAAACATTTGCAGAAATATACACAAACATGATCTAAAGTAAAAATGGTTTCAGGGGCCTCCCTGGTGGCACAGAGGTTAAACACAGCGCTGTCAAGCTATTGCCATCCACTAAAGCACAAGTTTGATCCCCTGCCAGGGAGGTGACCCACATGGCGCAGCAGACCTCTCCTGCCTCGCCTGCTGCTCCCCTCAGCAGTGTATTTCAGTCAGTTTGCCTGTTCTGTTCCCCACTCTCTCTGGTGAAACCTCTCAGCCCCTGCACCTCTGGCCTGTACCCCAGTTCTTGTATGTATAAATAAATAAACCTTTAAAAAAATAGTTTCAAGGGCCTCCCCGGTGGCACAGCGGTTGAGCGCTGGGTTGCGAGGCTGCCCGTGGCCTCTGCGGCGCCGGTTCTATCCTAGGCTGCTCCCCGGCCACCAGGGGAAGGTCCCACATGGCACGCAGACCTCTCCTGCCGCCCGCTGCTCCCCTCAGCAGTGTACTTCGGTCCTTCTGCCTGCTCTGCTCCCTGCTCTGGCTCTGGTGAATTCTCTCACCCTACCACGCTTCTGACTGTATCCAGTGCATGTATAAACAAAACAAACAAACAAACAAATAAATAAATAAATAATCCTCTATTTAAAAAAATAGTTTCAAGCTTCCCCCAAATTGCTGAGTCACAAGTAGAATACACTGAAAAAATATTAGTGAATCAATGATGAAAAATATAATACACACAGCAGACTCAAATTTCTAAAAAAATGAGTATACAAATTTGAATAATTTGTAGGTCAAAATGGAACTCAAAATGGAAATTATAATTTTTTATTAAAAAAATGAACCACACTATAATTCAAACCTGATTATTTCTGTTAAAGCAGTAATAAAAGGGAAATATGTAGTCTAAATTGCATTTACTAGAACACAACAGGGTCTGAAAACAAATGAATTAACATTTCATTGCAAAAAAGTACATGAAAAACAAGAAAATAAAAGGCTCTAAGTGAAGAAAATTACAGCTTTTAAAAAAAAAGAATCAAAAAATAAAACCATTTTACAAACGAAATGTTTACAAGAACAAATAAAAACATAAAACTTTGTCTAGTGTGATTTTATTTTTGAAGATCAGGAAGGTGTGAATAAGCAATATCAGCATTGAAAAATGAATAATTTTGAATTATGAATAATTCATAATGAATAATTATGAAGTAACTTTTCATTTAAGATTAAATACCATATGATATAGCAATCCTACTTCTGGGCATATGTCCAAAGAAAATAAAATCAGTATCTCAAAAAGATTTCTGTCTTCCCATGTTCTTTGCAAGACAATTTACAATAACCAAGATATGGAGACAAAATATTCATGATGGATGAACATATACACACAAGGAGGGAGGAAGGAACAGACAAGAGAAGGAGGGCAGGAGGATGAGAGAGAGAGAGAAGAAAAGAGAGAGAAATATTCAGTCATAAAAAAGAAGGAAATCCTGCTATTTGTGATGATATGAATGAAACTGGAGGAGCTTATGCTAAATGAAAGACAACAGACACTGAAAGATAAATACTAAATGATCTCACTCCCATGTGGAGTCTTGAAAAACTCAAATTCATAGAAACAGGTAATAGAACAGTGGTTGTCAAGGGCTAGATGTTAGGGAAAATAGGGAGTTGGTAAAAGAATCAAATGTTTGGTTATAAAATAAGATAATGTGATCTAATATACAGAATAGTGACTACACTTAATACCATACTGTATACTTGAAATTTTCCAAAAGTAGATCTTAAGCATTCTCTCCTTGCACACAAAAAATGGTAACTATGAAAAGTGATAGATGTGCTAATTAACATTATTGTGGTAATCAATTTACAATATATGCACATATCAAATCATCACATAGTATAGTTTAAATATATACAAATCTATCTGTCAATTATATCTCAATAAAGTTGGAGGAAAAGATTAAAGGTAAAATAATATAGTGATTAACATTCTAGGAATATGAAAATCTAGACACGAAACAATTCTGAGGAAATATAAAACAGCAAAATGCTCCATAGAGAAGGAAATCATAAAATCGAACAGAGTAGTTAAATTTCTTCAACCACAAAGATATCAAACATACAAAACTTTTTAAAAAAGCTAATTTTGGGGCATCCCTGGTTGTGCAAGGGGTTAAGACACGGAACTATGAAGCAATCCACAACCACTGAAGCATTGATCCCCAGCCAGGGAGGTGACCCACATGGCGCAGCAGACCTCTCCTGTCTTGCCCACTGCTCCCCTCAGCAGTGTACTTCAGTGGCTCTGCCTGTTCTGCTCTCCACTCTGTCTCTGGTGAATCTTCTCACCTCCCGCATCTCTGGCCTGCACCCCAGCTCTTGTATGCATAAATAAATCTTAAAAAAATAAAACGCTAAGTTCGATTGTGAGAAAACTGTTTTAACAGATAGAACAAAAAGTAGATAATTTAGATAACTCTTTGTTTTCTGAGTCTTAGCAATGAGTATAGTGACTCCCAAAACAGAAAAACACAAGAAACTGAAAGGGTATATTAATCACACTTATAGAAGCAAACATCCTAAATAGAATATCAACAAGTCACCACCAACACATTATAATAGTGATAACATCACCAAGGGTTTCATCTTAAGTTTGCAAGAATAGCAAAATATAAGAAATTTACCAGCAAAATCAATTCACCAAAATTATCTGAATGAGTAAAATATATAAAATCAATAATTATATGTAATCAATATATGTTAGTATACCATTGAGTAATAGCTAACATTCATTCATGATTTTAAAAAAATCTTGGCAACTTTTGTTAATCCATCTGCCAGATACCAAAAGCAAGTGTGTGTACAGAATAAAGTGAAAACTCTAGAAAAATGTATATAAATAAAAAAATATTAAAGTCACCTTTTATCACCACTACTAATTAACATGGTCCCAACGGTACTCAACATTGCGATAAGACAAGAGAAAAAATAAGCGGAAAATGGGTGTAAACATATAAAATATTATTTGCAAAGGACATAAGCATCTGTAAACCAAGATAATCGATGCACAGTTAGAACTAAGGCAAACTCAACAGTGCCTGAATACAAGATCAACACAGAAAAATATATTAATAGCAGCAATGAAATACATTAAAAAAGCTAATTCATAATTTCAACACATTATCAAGTGTAGGTGGAATGAACAGTATTATGAAATTTGAAGTGGATTTGGACAGACTTGATTGAAGCTAAGAAGTCGGAAATTTAAAATTACGTTGTCGTCTTTGCCAACCAAAGCCTCCCTGCCCCTCTCTCCAATATAAGGGAGCCCGCCACGCTAAGGCTAAAGAGAAAAAAATCACGCAGGCAACGTGGGGCGGGACTTCCGGCCCACACAGGCAGGGACTGCATCTGGATTTCCGGTTGTGCATAAGTTGGTGCGTGGCGTGGGGGAGGGGAAGAAGCTGTGAGGAAAGCTAGGCAGAGGTGCCGTCTCTGGCAGTTTTTCTCGTGGCTTTTTCGTACCTGACAGAGTTTAGTTTCAAGATTGAATCCTTTCTCTGTGCGATGTGGGAGCCTTGTGATACTGATTTCAACTCTGTGTAAGTGAGATTTCTTGTCCCTGACTGTGCAGACCATTCCACTTCCACCCTGCTTGGGCAGGCCCTCACGGCTTGGCCCTCGCGACTTGGCCCTCGAGGCTTGGCCCTCGCGGGTTGCCGTCACTGGGTATTGGTATCATGGAAGATGCTGCTGGGGCAACAGCAGGAGTCGGGGAGGTGGCTGAGGAAGAAGTGGTGGCAGCAGTGGCTGAGGAGGCAGAGGCTGTGGCAGGGGAAGAGATGGATCCCTCCCAGAGTCTTGTAACCTTGGAAGATGTGGTCCTGTTCTTCACTAGAGAAGAATGGGAGCTACTTGATGACTCACAGAGAGCCTTGTACTGTAGTGTTATGCTGCACAACTTCGTATTGGTGCTGTCACTGAGGCTTCCATTTTCCAGACACCATATAATTCCCCAGCCAGAGTCAGAGAGAGCACCCAGGGAGCCAAACAGTGAGCCCATGGAACCATCGAGAAAGCCCAGGGTTCATCAAACAGTAAACAGCTCCAGCCAAGGTAGAAGTGACTGAAGGGAGGGCTGGCTCTGATTGTTCGCATAGACATAGACTGAAGGATGAAGAGCCCTCTGAGCAGGGTTCTTCTATAATTGTGTCAGAACTGAGAACCCTCAAGGTGGGTCCTTGCACCCAAAAGGGCCACCCATGTAATAGGTGTGACTCAATCTTGAGAGAGATTTTGCATCTGAGTGGTCAGCAGGAGACATCCCCTTGGCAGCAACCATACCCATGTGACTCATGTGAGAGAACATTCTGGGTCACCACACAAAGTAACCACATCCTGAAGCAGAAGAATGTAGAGACATTCTCTAGAAAGGAAAAGGGCCAGGCCTCAGCAGAGAGCCACATGTACCTCCCTTGCAGGGAGGGTGTAGAGAACTTATTGGCCAACTCTGTACTTGACCAGGACCAGGCAATTCAAAATGCAGAGAAGTCATCCAAGAGTGCTGAGAGTAAGGAGACTTTTCATACTGGCCATAGGGATTACAGGTGCAGTGAATGTGGAGAGGCTTTTAGCCACAAAGACAGACTTGAGCAACACCAGAAAATTCACAGGGAAGAGAAACCCTATGAGTACAACAGCGAATGTGGGGCAGCCTCTCACCACAGCTCCTCTATATTACTACACAGCAAAGAATCACATTCTGTGTTGGGTAATGGTGGAAAATTAGTTGATCCTCACTTTATGGGGGTTGAAAGCTCTCATGCAGTATTAAGGCCTTATGATTGTGCTGAATGTGGGAAATCTTTTATCAGAAAATCCCACCATATTCAACATGATAGAACACACACTGGAGCTAAACCTTTTGAGTGCAGTGAATGTGGGAGATCCTTCTGTTGCAAAGACTCACTTATTCGGCACCAGAAAATTCACAGTGCAGAAAAGCCTCATATATGCAGCAGTTGTGGAAAAGCTTTTGTCCGTAAAGATGCACTTGTTGAGCACGACAGAAGCCACACTGCGGAAAAGTCTTGTGTGTGTGATGACTGTGGGAAGATGTTTAGCCACAATTCCTATGTTAAAATACACAAGAGAATTCACAGTGGAATAAGTAAGGCCTTGGGCTTGCGATGTATGTGGGAAAACTTACATTCCTCATCCCCACCTTATTCAGCACAAGAAAATTCACACCACAACAGAGTCTATGGGTGAAGTGATGACAGAAAACTCTTTGGAGGCAACTCCAGCCTCATCCACCAGAGACATAACACTGGAGCAAGATCTTGAGTGCCCAATGGATATCGGAACACCTGGGGAAGATACTCCCACAAAGCCTGGCACATAAAAGCTCATACCAAAAAAAAGGCCTTTGATGATCCTTGAGCTGCATCTTTTCAGTTTGTTTAGCACCAGAACATTCGCACTAATTTCCTTCTTGCTCAGCATAGCACAACACACAAAAGAGAAAAGGTCTACAAGTAGCTTTTGTAACATAAACAACCACCAGAAATTGAACTTCATGTTTTCAGGGGGCAGATAACTATAAGAACCAAGTTGGTGGTAAATTTTCAGGAGCAACTTTACATTGTATAACCTTCCCAGGGCCTTTGCCTGGGCTTTAACTTTTCAGTATCTGTTGCAGAAATTATCTTACTTCTACCAGCCATCAGGACCCCGACTGTGTGTCAGTCATCCCAATGCACTTGGGAAGGCAAACCTCCACTCTCCTATTTCCTGGAATTATGAGTGATCTGAACCCAAAGGGGATCCTCATTCCCTTCCCCCTGGTGGTATCATTGTAGATATGACTTAGTTTCTGCTAAAAAGAGTTGAACGGGAATCTGCTACAGTTTTCCAGAGGTTTCCATTTTCTATGGACAGCATTGACTGTATATGAGATAGCTGACATAGATTTCTCTACATCACCCCATCTTGGAACTTGGAACTGCTTTCCCTATCCTGATTGGTTTGTGCACTGAAAAAAGCCATATTGTTAAAGTCTTTACTCTGTTTTATTCACTGTGTGGGGCTGATTGAGGGGGAAACAATATGTGGGCTTTGCCAGCATTGAAGGGAGGAACACCTTTTATGGGGCGCCCAAGCTTTATGTGCCTCAGAGAAAACAGAAGTATGGTATAATTTGTATTCTCAGTATAATCTGGCCTAATTGGCAATGCTGGCTATGGCCTTTTCTGACAGTCGTTAGCCTTGTGGGACTGATTTTATGAACTGTGAATGAAGGTCTCTTATGAGCCCTAAGCTCACCTTGTTAAAGGGTTAATTTGCATGAGAATCTCCATTGTTTCCTTTAAGTTATTTTTCCCCCCAGAGGATGTCTCACACTGCCCAACACCTGCTGAGACCTACCCAGAAGTTATTGCCCCTGTGAAGTTTAAAATACGGTAGGCAGGGAGGGCCTACCTGGTAGTGCAGGGGTTGAAGTCTCAGCCCTCAGCTATTTCCAGCCACTGCAGCACGAGTTCTATCCCTGGCCAGGGAGTGACCCTTGTAGTGCAGCAGACCTCTCCTGTATCACCGGCTGCTCCCCTAAGCAGTGTGTTTTTTGTAGATCCGCCTGTTCTGTACCCCACTCTGTCTCTGGTAAATCCTCTCACCCCCTGCACCTCTGGCCTACACCCCAGTTCTTGTAAATGCATTAATAAATAAATCTTAAAATCTGGTAGGCAGGCAGGCGTAGGCCTACAGAGGCTAAGTGGGAAATACAAGTGATATATTTCTTGATTTAATGTATAGAATGTCTTCATCCTTCCTGACATTCATGTGCATTAAGGGTAAAGATACAAATTTTATGTTTCGACTTTCCAAAGTTTTAAACCTTTTTTTCCCAGTTTTATTGTGATATAATTGACATATAGGTTTAAAGTGTTTAGCATAATTATTTGACTTATATATATATTGCAATATTATTACCATAATAAATAAGGTTAGCATTTATCATCTAAGAAAAAACAGGAGAAAAATCCTCTTAGCGCTCAGTAAAGTTAACTCTGGTAAATACTGTTTCACTTAAAAATCCTAAAATAGGTTTAATTATATATTACAGAAAACAGAGCTTTCAAAAATAAAATACCCTTTTTAAATTGATAAACTTGATAAATTTTGACATATGTATATACCTGTAATATTACGATAGTTAAGGTAATGAATGGTTTCCCCTTAAAGTTTGTTCATGTTCCTTAATAATCTCTTCTTCTCTTCCCTTCCTGATCCTTTATCCCCATGCAACCATTAATTTGTTTTATTTCACAGTACATTGCATTTTCTAGTTTGATATATAAGTGTAGTAGAGTATAATTTTTTTTTTTCATATGTGTGTCTCTCTTTTTGTGTCATTAGCAGCCATTGATGTCAGTGCCTGTGTTCATTAATTTTTTATGGCTGCAAGTGATGATATTCTAAGTTTATTATTCTTATTTTACTTATTAGCTGAGGTAATACAGAGAAACTTTCCCTCATCTACTATTTATTTAGTCCACAGTACAGGAAAGGCAGCCTAAATGCTGATTTTTCCCTTTATTTTCTAGTTTTCAAAACAGGATGGGATGTCACTACCATCCTCCAAAGTGACCCTTGAGGTTTTAAGATTTTTACTATAATTATAACCTCATGGATTTTAATGTATTTGATGTTTTATTTATTTTTTAGTTTTCATTTTTTAAGACCCAAAACCCCACAATAATAAAAACAAAACATCCACCACCATCCATTATACCCCTTCCAACCTTGCTCCCACCCTGGCCTTATTTTTGGTGTACCTTCTTTCAGTAAGCATTATTGTTTTAAGATTAATCTTTGTTGTTGAGACTATCGATAGGTTATTCCTTGTGGTTGCGGAGTACTATTTCATTGTGTATGGACATACTCCAATTGTTTACCAGCTGTTGATGAACATTCAGGTTTTTTTGCAATTTCTGATTATTCAAAATAAAGCTGTTTGAAAGGAAAAAAACAAGAATCTTTAATGACTTCACAAAAGCTCTTGTCTTACAAAAGAAAGTTCCTCAAAAAACAAACTCAGTGTGATTCAAATTGCCTCTCTATTGCCCTTGAGGTACTAGCATGGCCCAAGGAAGAACTTTAAGATCTAGGGAAGGGATCCCACTTGCAAGCAATATAATTGCTAATTCTTGCTAGTTTGTGTAACCAGGAATTTAGGAAGTATTGGGAGAATGGGTTTTTAAATTTTCTGGATAGAGGCAAAAAGAACACAAGGATAAATCAGGTAAAATTTATCAGGATGGGATATCTTATCTAGATTTGGCATTTAATGATCAAAGTGAAGCAACTGGATGTGGACTTAACAGCATACTAAAGCCTGAACTGAATGGTGGCCTACATAAAAGAGTTCAAATGCCCCAGAATTTCCCTGGGATATTCCTGTGTCTCAGAGATATGACTCCTACAGATTACATTTCCAAGTTTTATTGTCCTCTGGCTTGCAAGTAGTTTCTGTCAGTAGGAGGCACTAAAGGAAAGTGAAGGTAAGAAGTAGAGAGAATATAAGTTTCTTCTCATCCCTCTGTGCTTGATCACATTTCTCTGGCATCTTCTTCTTTTCTCAGTAGCCCTTCTGTTATAGGGCAACCCCAAAGGGAAATTGGTATGGCCTGGGTGTGAGTCCTCACCCGCAGCTTAAAAAAAAAAAAAAAAAAAAAAAAAAACTCAGAACAAGACCCAAGGGCAGGCACACAGAGAAAGGTTAATAAAAGGTTTATTTACTAGGGAGAAGAGAATAGGGGAAGTGCAGAGAGAGAGAAAGAGAAAGAGATTAATCGTTCAATATGTCCTACAGGTAATGCTGTCTGAGCTGGGACCCTGGGTGCAAGTGGATGGTAGTCAAAACCAAGGGCCTCCCCGGTGGCGCAGCGGTTGAGCGCTGGGTAGCAAAGCTGCCCACAGCCTCTGCAGCGCCAGTTCGATCCCCGACTGCTCCCCGGCCACCAGAGGAGGGTCCCACATGGTGCGCAGCCTCTCCTGCCGCCTGCTGCTCCCCTCAGCAGTATACTTCGGGCCTTCTGCCTGCTCTGCTCCCCACTCTGGCTCTGGTGAATTCTCTAACCCTCCCGCGCTTCTGACTGTACCCAGTGCTTGTATAAATAAATAAATAAAACAAATTAAAAAAAAAAAAAAGACTCCTGCAGGCCCCCATGTGTTCAGTCTTATATCAAGCATGGCTGCTTAATTCCACCCTAGTTCCCAGCAATCCCCCCTTCAAGAAGTCAAGAGTCATGACAGACTCAAGGCATGATGGGAGTTGTAGTCCTTTGCACCTGCGAGTTCTTTGGCATGGAGGTGGGTGGGTCAGTAAATCATTAGTGGGTGGAGTTCATTTAAGACGTTCTGTTTCCCCCAACACTTCCAGAAAGTCCTGCCATGTTTCCAGCAGATACAAATGATTTTAGGCCCTGGACCCTAGTAACACTACTGTTTGTCCTTCTTTCGGTGGGGGTAATTGCTTTCACAGATACTAATCACTGTGTTTTCCCATCTCCCCCCAGTTTTGGATTCCCAACTAATCCATCAGCTGAGGAATCAATTACCTGAATGAACTCCTCTTTAAATACTTCTTTAAGGTTTTATTTTTCTGTTTATATCCTAATTAGTAAATAAGTAATTTATTTAGTTATGTGAAAAAGTGGAAGGAGAGTTAAGTGTGTAAGAAATAGAGATGAGGGAAAGGTTACGGAGCCCCAGAGATGATAATGTACTCCCAGAAACTAATAATAGGAAGCTACTCCCAGCCTTACAAAAGGTGACAAAGGTGAGAGTCAGGTTACTGGAACTGGCAAAGCATAGGTGTGGAAAACCACCCCCACAACAAGTTGTAGCCTTAGTGAGGGGAACATGGCAACTATTAAATTCTAATCTCAGGGAAAGACCATCAGGGAGGAGGAATAAACACCTGACCTCACTCTATTCCTGCTCTTAGATCTGCTGTCAATACTTGTCATTGACAAAAATGCAGTAAGTCAAAGTCAAGGGGACCCTGGTGATCCAGTCCATAGAGTTCATCCTCCCAGGGCACAGAGCAGAGCAGAGAAAGACAGAATTTGTAAGTAGAGAAGTAAATAGAGGGGCTCCCTGGTGGCGCAGCGGGTTGAGCACAGCGCTCTGAAGCTGTCTGCAGCCTTTGCAGCATGGGTTCGATTCCCAGCCGGCCAGGGAGATACCCACATGGCATGGAAGACCTC